CCGCCTTAATCTCAGAGTCCCACCACCAGATGTCAAAGTTTGGTATCCCGAATCACTCAAGTTCCGACCGTAGCTCCCGCCAGCTAGCTATAGAACAACGAGTACCATTTGCAGGTGGCTCACGCACGGCCGCTTCCACCTCAGGCGCAGACGTTCTCGCGCGCTTCAAGGCGACGGATAGGCCTGATATTCACGAAAGGTGAGTATTCCGTGCACGTCGCGCCGACCCTGCTCACTTCTGTGCAGTATCGCCAACCAGGAAATCTCTCAAGGTCTCCCGGAGAGTATCAGCACTCACAACTACCGCTTACGCCTCCTGGAAGGAGCAGGCAAGCTGCCAGAAGAACGCGACGCGCACGACAAAAACCGACGCGACGTGAGTACTATGAACAGCATTCACGTTCCCCGCTGACACTTCACAGTATACTGTAGACATGCGGCCTCATCAAGCGGTATGTCGTGCCCCGCGATTATGTCGGGTGACGCTGCTCACACCGCCTCTTACAGGCTCCCGGACCAGCTCTTGCGACGCGCTCTTCGTCGCAGGAAGAGCGTGGCGACAATGAAGACCCTGATGACGGTGAAGAGGAGATTGAAGAGGCAGGTGACCGTTCTCAAACCCTTTTAAACTCTACATGACACGCGCCCCGTAGGTCTCGCCTCCCCCTCAGAAGCGCAAGAGGAAGGTCGCGAATAAGGAAAACTACGACTCCGACTTCATCGACGACGAGTCGACGACGATGATCCGTTCGCCGCCCCGTCACCAAAAAAGAAAAAGAGACGTGGCCGCAAGTCTACTGCAGAGTCCGTCCTAGATACGGTAAGCACAGGCAGCCACAAATTCCAGTTTATTACGAGCCCAGGTCTAGATCAGCAACAAGTCCGGCAAGGATAAGCAGGCCGTAGCAGAGGTATGTGACCTGTGCATGATGATCTTTGCCAGAGGCTAACATTGGTTCAGGACCCGGTGCTCGACGACGAGCAGGTGGAGGCTCTGGCTCCAAAAGTAAGCTTGTCTCCCAGGCTTTACAAACACCCGGCTCACGCTTTTTCAGCCCGTACGCGGCAAGAAACCCTCGAAGAGTAGCACGGAAAAGGTATGACCCGTTGCCTCTAGCTTCGCACCGCTAACTTTACCTCTACAGTATGGCCCCGACTTTCAATCCAAGTTCCGCGGCGCGTTGGGTCTCCAGAACCCGTATCCGCACAGCGCCCCCCAGACCGCCCTCGAAATTAACGGTTTCGGGGTGCTTGGCCAGAATGCGCATACCCGCGCCCTGACCGAGCACACCTCCGCCCTGCAAACGATGCACAACGAGCGCATGGATATGGACAAAGAACGCCTCGAATTCGACAAGGAGCGTCTCGAATTCGACCGTGCCAACATCGGCTAGTACTCTCGGCCTCTCGTGTTCTGCTTTCTCTCCTGATCTGTCTCTGTGCCCATGGACACTCGCATCCCCTCTGCTGTATTCACTGCCCCGGTCTCCTTCGAACGTCTGTCTGTCTCCGAGTGGATCGTCCGTGCCCCCATGATATCGTGTAATTCCGTATTCTCTGCCCGGGGCTCTGTACTTGTGCACCACGCCGAACTTGAACATCGCTGCTCTCTGGCTAATTAGCATTAAACTTTCCTTTCGTTTTATAAAACTGTGCCCCGGCATGCCTTGCATCACAACCATTCACCATGCCCCCTCAAGCACGTCGGAGACGCCAAGGCGAGATTGCCCGTGCGCTCGTCCTCTCGAATACTGCCGTACAGGCAGCCATCGTCGATTGGGCGGGCGACGTTGACCAGACCTTGCCCCTCGCCACTCGCACAATTAAAGATTGGGCGGCGATGATAGCATCGTATCACGAGTTCATTGGGATCGTTTATCCTGCGCACGTCGGCAGGGAATGGGAGGTCGAAGGACTCCTTGAACGTACGTGATTTCGCTTCCTCGCAGAACACTAGTCTTACGAGCACGGCCACCCCCCTAGCACGACTTCGGCAGTGGTTCACCAATCGCATCATCACCTCGCAAGGGACCGGTGCAGCCCCCGGCGTGCTAATGACCTACACGTCCATGCTCACCCTGCGATGGCACCTTCTTGGGATTGTAAGTACGGCATCGGTCACGATACAACCACACACTGATACCCCTGCTCATAGATCATAGATGTGACGGCCGTCCAGGGCACTCCTCTTGCTGTCGAGTACCGTGACACGACCTTTCGGGTGAGTACTTACTAGACACCACGGTTTTCTCCCCTTCACTAATATTTGTCCAAACAGTGGTGTGTTGACCTGCAAATGCGGCTCAAATTACGCACGGAGAAAAGCCTCAAGAGCTATTTCGGTCCAATGGAGGCCCGCTTGATCATAGAGCATATGCTAGACAGACCGCGCTGCTACAATCTGGCACGTAACCCTTGCGTGTAGACTCCTTTGTAAATTAATCTTCTCATTTGCAGGCACTCGGTCAGGTCATCGCCACTCTCTTTGAGCTTATGCTAGGCGCTCGGCCGTCGTCTTTATACGCGGTTCAGAATTACAAGGACTGTTACATGTGTTTTCGGGTAAGTTCTTGTGGCCGTTACCGCCGTCCTCCGCTGATAGTCATAACACAGGATGTCGAGGTCATCCGGGAAGACGGAAGAGGCTACTTTACAATTATCGTTACCCTTAGGTGGTTTAAGGGCTACCATGCCGGCCAACGCATCAAGATCCGTTTCCGGCTAGGCCCCACACGGACCTCGCACGGGCTCATCATGGACGTCGGCTGCTGCACCGTGGCATACGGTCTGCGTCTCGGGTTCTTCAAGAACCACACATCCTTGCAGTCCCTCATCGACGGGGACGAGCTCCACATCGAGTGGAAGGACGAAGTCCTCAACCAACCCTTCTTTCGAGCGGGCGGTCCGAGAGGCATGTCTCTCACCAGCTCACCGCTCTCAGATAAAGGACGCCGTGAATATCTCCGCCTCGTGTTTGAAGCGGTCGGCCTGCCCGTCACCACCGGCTATGCCTTTCGGCGGCATTTCGCCCGTGTCATGAGGCGTGGTGTCGGGGCGGAGCTTACTCGACAGGCCATGGGCCATAATGCAGGCTCGACCGCCCTCGAGACGCATTATGACGACGGTGTGGAGTTTGTGGACTTCGTCGGCCACATGCTCGCCAAGGAAGATGCGAAGAGTGCAGCGCAGATGCAAGACGGCACCGAGGCGGCGCTACGACGGTAAGCGGAGACTCATTTCACCGCGCATCATTTCCTGAACTATTGCTATTAGCGGCGCCGCGAACCGCAAGCCCCCCGTTCTCAGCTTCGCACAGCTGCTACAGCGTCAGCCCGCCCTTGCGGTCCTCGCAGAGCTGATCCACAACATGAAGTTGTGCCTCGAAGACGGGGCGGTTGATTGGAAGTCACACACGGTAAGTACACCACTATTACTCATCTCCCTGTCCTGACTCTCCGTGTTCCAGACGGAAATCGAAGAGTATGTCGGCATCGGTAGCGACGACGACGCCATGTCGGTATACCTTCGAGCGGTCGGCCGTGTTAAGCGGCTCGTTAGTCAAGCGCGGCAGAAGTTTGCAGGGGAGTGGCACAAAGCGGAGGCCGACGCTGCGCGCAAGAAGATAAGCCTCTCTGAAGTCCGTCAGCGCATGGAGGACCTTTCGAAGCCCTCCAACCTCCCCACAATCCTCGCCCTAGCACGCCAGCGCAGTCAGCTCTCCGGCTATCAAGGTCTCAAGGGCGACATCCTTGCCGACGATGATCCCGAAAGTGAAGTCCCGAACGAGATTCGCGTGGAGCCTGTGAGCGGACTTCTAGACGACTCGTCAGACCCGGGCAGCTTGGCCACTACCGAGCACAGGTTGAACTGGATGTTGTCAGTCTTTCGGATCTATCTATGTGTTTATCATCTAACTATTCCTTCTCAGTGATCTTGCCACGCTTGAGCCTGCAGAGCCCGATGCGTGCTACTGCATCCAGTGCGAGGGCGATGTCTCATGCACGAGCGCCCACGTCGACAAGAACTGGAAAGTCCCGAGCAAACTCGCGCAGCACGAAAACGGCACGTTTCACCAGCCAAAAGCAACAGCGCGCCGCCTCCTCGCCAGGCTTGGCTGTGAACGCAAAAGTGAGTCCCGCCAGTCCTTCTTACGATTGCGCGCGCTCACATGTCAAACACAGCCGCAGTCTGGTGGTGCCCGTGGTGTCCTCGAATCGATGGCGATAAGAACAAGAACGACCCCAACGTCGAAGACAAGCTTTGGGGGACCACTCATTTCTACAAGGCCCACTTCCTCATAGACCACATGGCCTCCGAACACGCGGGCGATCACGACAGCCCCGCCCAATGGAAGATCATATGCGACGCTGCGTCCACCGCCCCCGCCCCAGAGGACGACGATGCTGACATGCGGGACGACTCGGAAGAGTGGGATGAGGCCGCTTTCATGGTCGCTGGTGAGCAGATGTACGCTGCGGCGGGAGCGGAACCTCGCGATGCCGCGATGGATAAGGCTGCGGACGAGGCCATGCGCATGTTGGCTCTAGAGTAGCTTTGCTAGTGTATTACTATGGTGTTATGTTTAACGTGATCTCGCTCTGGCCTTCAACTGTTATCATGGTCTCGTACCGTCGCTCGTCAGGTTGATCTTTGGAAAGTGAACGCGGGTCTTCGAGCTTCAAGATCCCTTAGCACGTCTCGCATCCGAGTTCCGACAAAAAATGTCGTCGATTAGAACGTCACATTGCGCTCTTCCGCTCGACTTGTTTTGCTGAGACAAGTTGAAGGAGAGAGCTGTCGGACCACAACAAAATTATTTTTGTAGAGAGATATTGATTGCACCGTCGTGTCAACGTCAATGAGAGCAAACACGGGTGGCGCGTGCCGTCGCGGCCCAAGCTCCGAGGTCATGCGAAGTTGAACGTTCAACGTTGTGTCCTGTTCTGGGTGCTCGGACTCTCGACTGTCGACGAGGACCTCATATAAAAATATGAAGGTGATTCGAATACGGGGAGTCGAACCCCGGGCTGCCGCGATCAAGAATTCACCCTGAAAGGCGGCAATGTTAGCCGCTACACCATATTCGACTTGTAGAAAGGGGGTACCTATGGGCTACTATGTTTCTCGAGTGACGCGCCGTACATAAGTAAATCATCACCGTTTCTCCTTTGCCTACGACTCCGAGTCTGGAAATGTTTACGCCCGAGCGTTTGTATGGGTGAAAACGAGGTCAGCCTTACGTAAGCTATACGGTGAAAGGCGGCAATGTTAGCCGATACACCATACCGGAGATTCTTTTTTGAGAGCCTCAGAAGAAGATAATAACTGAATTTCGTTCTCAGTGTAATGTTTGGCTCGAAAATAATTACTCTGAGTATAATCCCCCCACAGGACACAAAGGTGCATCCTTAGGACATTTTCCTATCCTCCATTTCTCGCCGTGGAACGCACTGGCGAAGAAAAACAGTTTTAGCGATGAGGTGAAAGTGACGAACACTACCTTCCTAATGTGGAAATGAAGCCCCTGTTTGCACTCGCGCGGTCAACGCGCGCTGATATTTTCAAGTTGAAGAGTACCGACTCAAACTGTTACAAGTAAATAGTACAGACTACTATGCCTCCCGTGGGTACTTTCAAGCTATGTACGGTGCCTATACAACTAATCTGTATCCAGGACTAATATCATGTCGCCGAGTTCGGCAGCCCTCTCAGCCTGTCTTCTCGGACAGGATACTATACGGCGTACTAAAACGCCGTTCCAATGCTACATTACCATCGCAGCGCAAGCTTGAATCCTGAGGGTGTCATGTTTCTCCTTTATTTGCAAGGGAGGTGCCGCGATAGATTTTGCGGTGGTAACGCGTAACGAGGGGCAGTCAGTGTGGGACATGGGGTTCGATTCCTTGAACCGGAATGATGATGTCTGGAGGCATCAGACAGATACGGGGTCTCGAATCGGAACAAGATGAATGACTGGTACTAATTGATGCAGGTGTATGTTACGACGTGTGCTATGCAATAGGAAGAGAAAGGTGGAGTCATAGCAATGACATGGCTGGATGCTACAGGACGATTAAGGCTTATAGCCGTGGAAGTATGGATGGACGAGAGCGCGTTTCGCTATGATTGAACGGTAGGTCAGTATAGTAATGGAAGCATATGGGGTAGAATAAAATACCTGAAATGCGCTTCGCAGTGTCGTATGTCAAAGTGGCCTGCACGGTGTATGATCAGTAGGAGACAGATGCAGTTCATGGGAATGGGCACCTTCAATAAATCAAGACCCGCATCATCGAGCGCCGTCACGATACGGCCGAGATCTTCAGCAGACCAGTGGGGGAAGGAGGTCTTGTAATCAGGCAGGTTGCTGACCCCCGGCCATGTTTGCTCGTTTGGTGTGCCGAGCACCCTACAGGCCACGATTAACACTGGCAATATATCAATGCGCGTAGAACGAACCGAAAGATCCGGAAAATCTGGTCGATCTCCGAGTCACCGGGGAAGAGGGGTATGCCCTTCATGATCATCTCCGCAAAGATGCACCCGACCGACCACATGTCGATGGCAGTCGAGTAATGCCGGGAGCCCAGTAGCACTTCTGGAGCGCGGTACCACAGTGTCACAACCTACACCAGCATATAAGTCACCGTCATCCGAAAGGCAAAAAAACGCGTACTTCATGGGTGTACGTCCTCATGGGAATACCGAAGGCTCGTGCAAGCCCAAAGTCCGCAAGTTTCAGGTTGTCGCGCTTGTCTATGAGAAGATTCTGAGGTTTCAAGTCGCGATGGAGGATTCGGTGGGAATGGCAATACAACAACCCAGACGTGAGTTGGTGGGTGAATTTCTGCGGGAAACGCCACAAAAACGCGTCAGTGGCAATATCACGTGATGGCGTAGGGGCGGGGAAAGACACCCCCAGAGCGAGACAGGAACCGGAGGAGAATAGCCAATGCTTCAACCGCATTGTCAAAGACATGGGCGCCAGTGAGGGTGGCAGTGCCACCGGTGACGGAGCGCAGGATCGAACACGCGTTGGACGCGTGTATAAAGGCGCCCACACAAGATAAACGCCCGCTCACCTTGACGATGGCAGCGGACATAGGGACATTGCTCGTGGTAGCATTTTCCATGTACCGCTTGAGGTCGACGTCCAGAAATTCAAAAACGAGATACAGTTTCTGGTCGGCGTGCACGATGTCCAAAAGTCTGAGAGTCTAACTTCAGTGGGACATGTAACAGGGGAGTGGGGCACGGACAGCGCACCTGACGATGTGATCGTCCTTCAGCTCCTTCAAGAGACTGATCTCACGTATAGCGGTACTGGGAACACCCTCGTCTTCGGCTTCGAGTCTGATTTTCTTGAGGGCGACGATTTGATTTGTTCCGGTATCGCGGGCTTTGTAAACGACACCATATGTTCCTGGGACGACATTGTTAGACGTGGGGCATAGGACGCATACAGAGCGCATAGCACACCTTCCCCTATCAAGTGCCATATCCCGCGTTTACGGTCCACCCAAAGTGCCAAGTAGCCTGAACACACGCACCAACTTTCTCGATCTTTGCATAGCTAAACGACACGTCAGTGCTTCAGCATTGCTTCTGCCGAGCACTGTGTGCAAAGTGCTCACCGGTCCATGTTGAGCTGTGAAAAGGCTGTATGGCGTATTCGGAAGGAGAGGCGTAGAAAAGTCGCGTTTGAACCCGACAGGCAGCACCGTAGGAGCCTCAGAGAGAAAAACCAGGGAGTGGAGTAGAGTCAAACGTCAAGAAAGCGCAAGAGCGGTATAACTGCGGTTGTACGATGGGCGCTGGGAGCTACTATTTCTGCATGAATTACGGACTCATAGATCAGGTAATCGATCGGGCCAACCAGTGTGCGTCCTTCCCGAGTTTCGGATCGATACAGCTACTCGAGGCGGCGTGGATTGTAGTCGAAAGGAAAGTCGAGGTTGTTGCTCGAGTACGTAGCGAAGAACGAGGAAATCAAGGCAGGTCACGTCAATGCGCGAGCGTTTTGGCGCGGCACCAGCTCTTGTCTCTCGCGCTCATGTCGCCGCCGCCGCAAACGCCGATTGGCAGGTCTCGAATCTTGCCGAGACTTGCTCAACACAGCTGAGTTAGCTGTACATGTTTCTTTTTACCCAAGTTAACCCCTACGAGAGGTCTACATGGCGTGGTGACATCGTCTCATTGACAAGCCTTTTGTGCTATACCGATCACGACCTGGAAACGCGACAGACGACTCAAAGCCTAACACTGTTCCCTACGGAAGACGAGAAGTCAATCGTTCCTATTGATTGACACTGTTATGCCTATGCGCCCCCGCGTACACTACCCACCCTTCGACTCCTTCTCGCAAACGGTGTGGACATAATTCATCACGTCACCTACCTATGGCCGTAATTGTCCAACACTCCTGGACGCATGCCGACACTGCGATATACGCAACGGTTACTCGCGTGTCTCATGGACGTTGTCTTCGGCATCCTTCTAGCTCGGGGATGTTCTGTCCATTCAAGTGACTCCGACTCCCACACGGTGAACATTAGGTCGACGTAACGCGCCTGACAGGACCACACGAATCTTTACCATTACAAGAAGATGGGATAGACTGGCAGACGGTGACGGATGCGATCCACCCCGCGCCTCCTGCTAGGTAGGGACTCGAGACCCTCATAGCGCGTCGACGCAATCGGGTGGTTGCACAAGTGAATCCCGCTTTGTTGACGAGATCATGACTCTTCGTGCAATGTGCCACAAAGTCTGCCGTACATTCGACCTCGAATCACTACGATAGGTGCGGCCCCCGCAAGAGATCGCCAACCCTGCGATCCTGTCACCTGCGGCGGCACGGCATAGCAAGGTATACATCGCATGATACCACCAGGAGCATCCGTGTTCGACACAGTGCACAGTACTACTCGGTGGTATTTCAAGAGCAGCAGTCTGTACATGTTCAATGCCGTTTGGCTGTTTCATGTGCTAGCTATGGGTCACTGCCTCTATTATATGTATTGCCTACCTAATCGTTACTGAGTTTTACCATGCATACCTTCGAATACTACCAGCTTCTGACCAGACTTGATCCTCGTGAGCTTGTACACCGACAATGATATGGATTGAACGCTGAAAGGACTTTTACGAAGTCTGAAGATCTCGATATCGGGAGTTGAAACCAAATGAATGACTGGGTACTGATTGATGCTTGTGTAGGTTACGACGTGTGTTATGCAATGGGAACATAAATGTAAGTAGAGTCATCTGCAAAAAGGAACGCGGCGATGTCAAATTGGACAAAGATGGGGAATACAACAAGGAATGGCATGTGCACAACGCTACATATAGGAGGATGGATGGTCAAGGCTTGAAGCCGTACAGGTATGGGTGGACGAGAGCGCGTTTGGCTAGGACGGAAAGGCGGGTTAATAAAGTGGGCGGTGGGAGGTTACAAGGTGGATGGAAATACCTGAAATGCGCTTCGCAGTGTCATATGCCAAGGTGGCCTTGAGTAAATCAAGACCTGCATCATCAAGGGCTGTTACGATACGACCAAGGTCCTCAGCGGACCATTGGGGGAACGACGGCTTGTAATCAGGGAGGTTGCTGACCCCCGGCCATGTCTGCTCGTTCGGCGTGCCAAGTACCCTAGAGGAGAGAGTTAGTGTCAAGTGCGGAGCATATGCGCGGAACAAACCTAAAAATCCGGAATATTTGATCGATCTCCGAGTCACCGGGGAAGAGAGGTATCCCCTTCATGATCATCTCCGCGAAAATGCAGCCTACGGACCACATATCGATGCCAGTCGAGTAGTGACGGGAGCCCAGCAGCACCTCTGGAGCGCGATACCACAGTGTCACAACCTACACCGGCGTCCGAGTTAAGTCTACAATGCTTCCGAGAGAAAAAAACGCGTACTTCATGCGTGTACGTCCTCATAGGAATACCAAATGCCCGCGCAAGCCCAAAATCTGCGAGCTTCAAGTTGTCGTGTTTGTCGATGAGCAGGTTCTGAGGCTTCAAGTCTCGATGAAGAATTCGGTGTGAGTGGCAATACAGCAGCCCGGACATCAGTTGATAGGT